CTCCAGTAGTCGTCTTAGCCAAATGACTTCGAATGCTTCGGCTGCGAGGGATCGGCATTCGGCTTCGGTTGATGATCGGGCAACAATATTTTGCTTTTTCACCTACCAAGATATAAGAGAGTTTCCCAAGAAATTACAATAACTTGAGATAGATCTGCGGTCATCGGTGTCGCTTGCCCAATCGGCATTCGTGAAGTCGTGTAGGTGGAGAGGACCTTGGCATAGAGGTAGACTGAGGTTGGTTGTGCCATGGATGTAACGAAGCAGTCGTTTGAGTCCATCGAAGTGTTTGTTGAGAGGTTAATGCATGTGTTGGCTTAGATTTTGGACGGTGAATTGAATGTCGGGTATGGTCAAGGTGAGATATTGAAGAGATCCGAGGAGCTGGCGGTATAGGTGAGGATTATAGAAAGGTTCTTGCGCTTGAGTTGTGAGAGTGGTTTTGCAGGAGCTGGGCGAGGAAACAGGTTTGGCGTTTAGCATGCCTGCTCAGTCCAAGATGCGTTGAGTATAGTGTTTTTGGTGTAGAATGACACTGTTTTGAATAGGGACAGATTGAATTCCCAGAAATTGAGCTAAGGTGCCAAGATTACTTATTTGAAATCGAGAGTGGATATTGGCCGATAGGAGGTGATTGATTTTGGACGTGGAGTTTCCGGTGAGGAGGATATCGTCGACATAGATGAGGATGTACATACGAGTTGTGCCGTTTTTGTAGGTTAGGAGAGATGGATCTAAGGTGCTAAGCTTGAACCCGAATTGGAGGAGATGGTTAGAAAGAGTGGCATAAAATTCTTGTGGTGACTGCTTGAGGCCGTATAGGGCTTTCTTTAACCTGCAAACATGGTTGGGAAGAAGAGAATCTTGAAAGCCTTGCGGCTGCTGCATGTAAACAATGTCAGATAGGTGGCCATATAAAAAAGCATTTGAAATATCTAAATGATGAATGTTCCAGTTATGATGTAAAGCAATGAGGATAAGAACACGAACTGTGGGCATTTTAGCAACGGGGCTAAAGGTTTTTGTGTAGTCAACCCCATGTTCTTGGTTGAAGCCCTTGGCAACAAGTTTGGCTTTGTATCGAGCGACGGTGTTGTCGGAGTTGAGCTTGGTACGGAATGTCCACTTGCAACCTAGGATATTTTGGTTGTGTGCGGGTGAAACGAGTTCCCATGTCCCTTGTTCTTGGAGAGCTTGAAATTCTTTTGACATGGCCATGCACCAGTGTTCTAATTTAATGGCTTGATTATATGTAGTATGTTCGATAGGTTGAAGGAAGTGAGAAAGATCGAATATCTATTTGGGTTTGGTGTGGCCGGTTTTAAACCGTGTTAACATTTTGTGTCCAGTAGGTAAGGAGGCTTGGGGAGGTGGGATAGATGTGTCGGGTTGAATGGGGCTGTGGGAAGGTGAGTTAAGTGTGGCCGGGACAGGAGCATTGTGTTGATCATGAGAGATGGGATCTTGCGGAGCTGGTATTGCGGACGGTGAAGGAGTTGGTGTTGAGGGCATATTTTTGTTTAAGATTGCTAGCAACCCGACGGAGGGAGGTAGAGTTTGTTGCAATTTTTGTGACGGGGAAGAGGTGGTGGAGAAGTTGTGGAAAGGAAAGACTGCTTCATTGAAGACCACGTGGCGCGAGGTATATATTCTGTTGGTATTAAGGTCAAGGCAGCGATATCCTTTTTGAGAATTAGCTACCCGATGAATGTGCATGGGTATGATAGCGGGGAAAGTTTGTTCTTGGAGTAAGGTTTCAACCACGGGTAGCATAGACAGCCGAAAACCTTGAGATGATCGTACGAGGGTGGGTGAGCGTGAAGAAGTTCGTAAGGAGATTTGTTGAATGTGTTAGGCGACGGTAGCCAGTTTATTAGATAAGCAGCCGTCATAAGGGTGTCTACCCAAAGGTATTGGGGAATGTGAGCTTGAATGAGAAGAGCCCGATTTGTTTCAGTTAGGTGGCGATGCTTGCGTTCGGCGACTCCGTTTTGAGGGGGAGAGTAAGGACAGGTGAATTGGTGGATGATGCCAAGATGTTTTAGAATAGTTTTGAAATTGGTTCCGGTAAATCCGCCTTCACTGTTCGTGCGAAGGGTGAGGATGCGAGTATTAAATTGGCACTAAATTAAGCGATGAAGTTCAAGAAAGCTGTTAAGTGCATCAAACTTTCGGACTAAAGGGTAGATCCATGTGTATTTAGAAAAGTCATCGATAAAACAAATGTAGTAGTGAAACCCTTTATTAGATGGAACAGTAAACGGGCCCCAAATATCGGAGTGAACAAGTTGAAAAGGAGCTTTGCTAACAGTATTAGAAACAGAAAAGGGTAGGCGATGGCTTTTAGCCATCCTACACGCATTACACATAGAGCGAGATGAAGAATTACAAATAGTCGTATGTTTTAGAGCTAAACTAGACACGGTCTGAGCGGAGGGGTGGCCGAGGCATTGGTGTCAGAGATCTGGAATGGCTTGTAGCGAAAGAAGGGCGAGCTTGGACGGGTGCATCGACTTGGAGGGAGCGGAGTGAAGTGGGTAGAGGCCATTAATACACGGACCCTTTAGTAGAGGTTGGAGGGTCTTCTGATCCTTAATTTCATATCCATGAGGAGAAAAAGTGATAATGCAGTGGTTATCGGTAGTAAGTTGATGAACATATAGCAATTTGAATGAAAGATTTGGAACCATATGAAGATTAGACAACGTGAGGTTACCTTGAGGTGTAGGAAGAATACCTCTACCTGTATTATGGATCATAATGTGTTGGCCATTGCCAAGAATCACTTGATTTGGGCTGGTGTAAGCTTGAGAGGATTGGAATTGGTTGGGGTCGGCCGTGAGATGGGAGGAGGCGCCGCTGTCAAGAAACCACTCCGTCGGCGAGGTGGTAGTATGCGAACAGAATAGAACAGTGTTTGATTGTTCTAAGTTATATATATCGTCGTGCCGATCCCAGCACTTTATGGCCGAGTGACCAAATTTCCCGCAAATTTGGCATGTGACTGGGTTTCTTGAAGGATTTCGGCAATTGTTGTTGGAGGGGTTTTGCTGAGTGCGAGATTGAGAGGATGTGCGACCGCAATTGTTGTTCGAGCGTCCACGACCGCGGCCACAAGAGGCCGTGAAAGCCATGGAATTTCCGGATATTTGAAGGGATTGAAGATCCCTTGTTGTTTCGTGCGCAAGATTGAGTTCTTCTCTGCAAAGAAGAGTGTACATGTCGTCCAAGCTTAGGGGTTGTAGGTTTGTACGGATCACTGTTTTGAAGGCTTAGTAAGTGGGGGAAGACCGTCGAGGGTGTAAAGAATGATGTCTTCGACGAGAGGAGCGCCGGCAGCGGCTAAGGAGTCGACCTTGGATTTTATATCGAGCAAGTATTCTGTCATAGTTTTGTCCTTCACGGACAAGTAATGCAACTCGTGTCTGAGTTGCATGATTCTTGATCGTGTGCTAGATTGAAGGCGACGGTCGAGCGTGGTCCAGATTTTCGAGCAGTGGTCGACGGAGAGGATGTAGGGAAGGATGGTGGGTGAGATGACAGAGTATAGGGACGCTGCAAGATTCTGATCCACGTGAAGTATTTGGTATTTGGCACCAAATGACCGGTGGAGTCGAAGATGATTTTGGGCGGGGGAGGAGTGGATCCGTCCAAGAAACCCCCATAAGAGTTTGCTCTGAATAGCTTGATTACCTGTGTCCGCCAAACTGGGTGATTATCTCTTGAAAGAGGATGAGTAATGATGTTCTTGATGGTGTTCATCAAGAACTTGAGAGATGGTTGGATTTGCTGCGTGTGCTAAGGCAGTGCGGAGGTTGAAGCTTCTGACATTTGGGAGGAGGGCGGTGAGGCCATGAGTGGAGCTGGGCTGCCGATTTGGTATGCGGGAAGAAGAAGAAAAAGGGAGGATGGATTAATGAGGCTCTGATATCATGTAGAGAAGCAGAGCCAAGACAGACGAGACGGAAGACAGAGGAATAGAAAAGTAATTTTTGTATATTGTAAAGATATGTACAAGGTTCCTATATATAGACTAGAATACAAGAATAATACCAGATGCTGACGTGGCTTTTTCTTGAGACACTGCTTAGACCTGTCTTCCGTCTATATGCTGACAAGGGCAGTTATTGCTTAGACCTCTACTATACCTAAGTCCTCTCCACTGCCGCAAGCTCAAATCCATTGTCAGATATCAACCTCCAAGCCCATTCTACTCACTTGGTTGAAACCCCAGCAGCTCTACACTCCTAGTCCAGCATGCTCCCCTATACCTACACCAACTCACACTCACTATAAACTACCACTCTATTCCACCAAACACATGTTTCCTTCCTCCCGTGCCTCTGAGACTTGTATATGTAGCTGCTTTCTCAAAGCTCATCACCAAACAACCACTTGCTATGCCGATCAAATCTAACATTAACGACTTAAAATGCAACGCTTAGTTTTTCAGTTTGGCAATTGAACCTGCAGTTCGAATGGTTCAATCCCGATTCTTTGTAAAACTGGTTTTAAATAAATTGAAACCGACCGATCTGATTCGATTTTCAAAGTCTTGCTAAAATCTCAAGATGATAAAATAAAAGATAGGTAGGAATTCTTAATTTCAATCAAAATTAGATAGATAAACTATTTTTTTATAATTCTAGTAGTACTTGAAAGCCAAAGGTCGAGGTTTCGTTGTTCTAATACCAAAATGTTTAGTTTTTTTTTAACTTAAAAAATTGCTTTAGTAAATAAGTTGTCCCACTATTAACATAAAATAATTTTTACAATCCATATGAGGAAATAAACACTTAATTAAAAATTTACCATTAAAGATAACCTATAAAAACTTATAATCACACCAATTTAAATAAGTATTTAAGTTAATTTAATAACTTACCTACAAAGGGAGTGAGAATTCAAGACGACTATTCAAGTATTCATTCTAAAGGACTTAGCTTGAAAGGGGCCTTACAGTAATTTTAGTCCAATTTGGACATTATATAGCCCCACCTGCAGTCATAATAATCACATCCCTGCCATTGAAACACTGAAGCTGGACAATTCCGCTAATAACTAACAAACGGCGATGGCCTCCAACGTAATCTTCACTGGACATCTTCCCCTTATGGAAATCCACGCCGCTGCCGCCGCCGAAGACGACGGCGGCGGTGACGAGGCTGATGATGAGATGAGCTATAAGACCCCTCCCTATTCCGCGGACGATGAAGACGACGACGCCGGCGACCATGGATCGGCGAAGGGAAGGGGATCTAGGCGAACAGCTTCGCTCCCGGGAACTCCACGGAGGCCGTGGGAACCATGGAGGAAGTATGCGAGCGAGATGGAGTTGCGGAACGGCCTCGGCCGGCGCCGCCGCCGTTGGAATCGAGAGAGAAAACTAGATCGCGCGTGGGAGATGAGGAAATCCAGAGCCAGCTTTGCCGATTCCGTCCTAGGCGGAGGAAGCGGCGGAGAGGGTGGGGAGTGTTTGGTGCTGGTGAGGCCGCGAGGGAGTAGCGGGAGGAGGATCTGTATGGATATGGATGAGGTAAAAGCTTGCCGTGATCTTGGTCTTGACATCCCCCGCGATTTCACAGTCGAGATACCCGGCGGGATTTCCGGCAACAGCAGCGGCGCCGATTCCCCCATCTCCGGCACCGGTGAGTATTGCTCTGAACCGCTGGGCGTGTTATCGTAATTCGTAACTATAACTGTGAAATTGATGAAGATTGAAAAATCTGTACGCAGGGGAAGACGCGAAAGAGATTAAGGCAAAGCTCAAAATGTGGGCTCACGCCGTGGCTTTTGTGTCGTCGGCGGCGCGATCGGGCCGCTAAGAGTCGGATGGATGAAGAAGCCCTTGCTTTTTTTACGGGCTTTTTTATTTTATTTTATTTTATTTGTTTGCTGGTTTTCTTTATACTACGCTATTTTAAAAAAAAAAATATGCCCAAAGTGATTTTACTTTGCGTTTTTTAATATAAGAGAGTGATGTACATAAAGTAAGACTAAGAATGTACTTGAGAGTGGTGCAATATTTTGTAAGGTAGATTGTAAAATTATTAGAAAAAAAATTACTTTGTTGTTATGGTTGAAAAAAGCAATTTCATCATAAAAATATCTAAAAAATAATATAAGAACAAAATAAAAAAATAGTCAAATAAAATTATAGTTGTTATCTAAAGAGCAAAACAAGCATAAAGTTGTTTTAAATATCCTTTAAAATTTTGTTTGGGATTATTTTTTTACTGTTGCTTAAAATAGTTTTTTAATAAAACAATTAATTTTTGTACTAAAAAATTACTTTAAGAAGAAGTAAGCAAGCCGTCTCAAACGAAACCTTAGGATTCGTTTGGGATGGCTTTCTTACTGCTTAATAAGGCAGCTTTTCAGTATAAGAATCAGTAAGAACAGTAAGAAAAACATTCCAAAAGAAGCCTAAGACAGAGATTGCTTAGATTTTAGCAATTCTCTTTTGTAATTATACATCTATTTTAAGTGTTGGCCTTAATATTTGGTTATGATAGTCTATTTTGTACAAATTATAAGTTTAGGAGAAATGAGTTTGATATGATTTTCATTATTTATTTATTTATTTATTCAATTTGATTGTATTTGATTAATTTAAGATTGAGGCATAACTCAGTAAAATTTAACAGAAATAGAATTATTGTGATGAAATATGAAGCCCATACAAAAATTTATTTAAGTAATTTTGGATTCATAGCTTTAATAAATCCCAACATTTTGTTTGATGGCAAGTTGTAAATATCAAATGCTCTTGATTCTTTTAATTTTCATTAAAATTGTTATTATATACCACTTATCATTCATATATAAGTCATTTTCTATGAACTCAATTCTTATATTTAGTTGGCTATAATAATTTATTTTACCACCTTCTTTTTTATTTAATGAAATTATTTGGATAGTCATTAGAAAAGATAAATATAATAACATTATAATAGCATGAACAAATGATGTTCAAAAAATACTTTCAATAATTAAAAAATTACATCAATTTATATAATTTTTAGTTGATTATATTTTATAATACATTATTAAAAATATAACCTAATGGCATTAATTTAAGGATTTTTAGAATTGTTATCAATCTATGTTTAAAAAGCATTTTTTAATAGTTATTTCAAACTTTGGTAGATTTGAAATGACTGCAATGTTTTAAAAAGTTGATTGTCAATTTGAATAAAATCATGCATTGTTGTATTTTTTCTCAATTCTCTAAGACATATTATGCAGAGATTTGGAGGAGAAACTTGATAGTTAATGACGAGTTTGCAATGATGTGGAGGGCTTTGGGTGGTTAAGCGCGAGAAGAAGTGTTCAAGCTAGTTCATCAAAAATGGGAGGCTCAAAGGAGATCACCTACAATGGAGACAAGAATAGCTAAGCATGGTAATAGGAAGAGATGATATTGGTGTGATGTGGAGGGACTCATGGGTGCTTGAAGACAACTAGAAGTATTTATGGAAAGTCGCCACTTAAAAGTGAGAGTCGCTAACGATAGTATCGACTCTGAAAAGGAAAGCTGGTGATTTTGAAATTTGTCGATTTCATTGATTTTCACAAGCATGAAAAATATAAATTTTAAATTATTTTTAATACCCCAAAGGTCTATTTTAAATTGAATGTAAATTTTTTTTTTTTTTGAAATACATGCACTAAAAAATACTTATAATCAAGAACCCAATCAGGGAAACTTAATAGAGGCAATTACATGCCTATCACTCAAGTCTTTGCCATTTTTTAAATTCTCACCAAATATTAAAATTCACAAAAAAAACTAGTAGGTATTTTAAAATATATTCTCACCAAATATTAAAAAAAAAACTAAAGATGTTCACGAATATGCTCGATGTAATTGTTTGTTACGAGGCTCGATAAAGCTCATTTGTCAGGTTAATGAATATCTAGAAGTAAAGCTTTTAAGACTGATTTGTTTAAAGCTCGATAAGTATTAAATGAACTGAACATGAATCGAACAAGAACCAAATATAAACACTCATTTAATTAAACGAACCAAATAAGAATACAAACAATAAAGCTCAAATCAAACACGAATCAAATTTGAATAAGTTGATAATAACTGAAATCAAACATGAACACTCACATACTCGACTCGACTCAGTTCGTTTGCATCCCTAAGTCTAAATTCGCTGCTTAAGTCATATAACGGGGGATAAATGTGATTAAAGATTATATAGGATTAAGGCGTTGTTTGGAACAACTTTTTAATTAATTTAGTGGTTAAAAATAGTTAGAAAAAAACAATGTGTTTAGAAGACTTTTTTTTAATGCTATTTTAAACTTTTGTCTTCAAGAAATTATTTTGTAAAGTCAATTTTGAAACTATGATTGAGAAATGAACTTTAAAAATAAAAAATGAGAAGCTTAAGATGCCCAAAATAAAAACTTAGCTTTTTGGAATAGCTTTTCAACCGCTTTCATTATAAAAAAATAGTTTGTAAAAAATATTATGCGTTTGAAAACAAAAATTTTATTGTTATTTTTTAATTTTTTACTTATAAAAATTTATTTTAAAAAATATTTTTAAAACTCTAAATTTTAGAAATGAAATTTTTAAAGAAAAACTGAGTTAGGGGGTATTTGTATACCATTTAGATTTACCTTTAGCAAATACTGTAAATCCAAATTTTGTAAAACCTGCTAAAATTAAATCATAAAATTTGTTTGGCAAAATTCTTGAAATATAATTCAAAATTATGGTGTTTATTTCATTAAATTACCACTGAAAGCATTATTCCAAGACATGAGTTACTTTTTCATTATATTTAAATTAAGAAATCCAGGTTTATTTCTTGAAATAAAGTATGTAAAGTTGTCAAACAATTTTTCCTCACTTCTTTTCTTCCAAAAAAAGTTAAACTCTAACAATCATAGGAGTATTGCTAACATTCTCAACCTTCATTTGGGTGATGGTCTTTTTAAATATTTGAGGATTCTCATATACCAAGAGGCTTAGAGTGGTTGTCTTTTCTCCTCTTATGCAAAGCAAAAAAAAAATCTCTTATTTATTGGATGGTTGGAATGCCAAGCTTTTAACTTTATTGGTAGGATCCAATTTATCAAGTTTAGCATATGGAACACTATTGCCTGTAGGATTAGGGGTTCTATAATTTAAAACTTGATGTAAATTTATTGATAAAAGTTGTGCCGGGTTTCTTTATCATAGTAGCATTCATGAAAACTTTTTTATCTTATCTCTTAGAAGAATACTTGTCTCTCTAGAAATCTTGGCGAACATGATTTTCCTTCTATTGATTCATGCTTACTCTTGCTCTTTAATATGGAGATGTCTGACCTCGAACTCCCTCCTTCGTTGTTGGTGGAAAAACTTTTATTCGTCCTTCTGAATGCCTATTTTTGAGAGAGTTTATTATTGTTGGAAACATTTGATCAAATTTGCTTCTACTATTAAGCATAATATTTCTTATACGATTGCTAACATAAATAAAATTGTCCTTTGGTGGGACCCCTGGTGTTATGGAAAAGGACTAACTGAACTTCTTCATGTGTCTGATATTATGTTTCCCTCTACTTTCTCTGTCTTTAACCTTATTTCTGGTGAGGATTGGATTTTTCCTCTGGATCTGCCTCCTACTATTTTCAACTATATTATTGCCTTGAATATTTCTCTTTTTTTATGTTGATTTGCTTGTTTGGTGCAATTCTAAGAACCCTTCTTTTAAATGCTTTCTTAATGACTATTAATTTTGATGAGTTTTGTTGGCATAAATTTATTTGGCACAAAATATTTTCTTTAAGATTATCTTCTTTTGTTTGGTTAGCTATAATGGATGGCCTTAAAACTACTGATAATCTTATTTACAAGGTATTCCTGCTAACCCTACTTGTCCCCTCTATAATGCTAACAATGAATATATTCCTTACTTATTTTTTGAATGTGATTTTTCTTTTAACATCCTTATTGTTCTTTTTCATGAAGCTATTGTTTCACTACTTAAGCCCAATATTAATCAAGTTTTTAATTGTATTATTGATTAACATGAGTTCTTTATCAGCATTAAGAACTTTTACTATTTGGTTATATGTGCTTCTATTTATTTTATATGGCGTGAAAGAAACACTTAAGGTATGGCAACTCTACTTATTGTCTTTATACTATTTTGATTATAATTAGGAAAGGTATTAAAGCCAAAATATGCATTGGAAGAATGCATATAAATTTATTAAATTTATGAACTAATTTTCTATTGACCTTGTTATTTTTCCTCTCTAGTTGCTAGGATCTGGGTTTGTTTTGCTGATGCTTTGGATTATTTTGTATTTTGTTGTACTCCAGTGTCATTTTGGACAATGATGTGGCCTCTGCCTTTCAATCCTAATTTGGACAATTTTGGCATTGATTTGGCTACTTTGGAGGCAATTATTAGTTATTTGTAGCCTATTTGGGATCTTCTTTGAATGTTGTTATGCTACTGGGTGTTTCTTGGAGGTTGACTATCCTCTGTCTCGGGTTGTGGACTTGCTGCATGCTCTCTTCATTATGTTGGTTAATGGCTCATCTGGATTTGTTGCTATAGTGTTTCTGCCTTTATGTTATGTAATTTCTATATTTTTATATATTCCTTTGTCATTGCAATCGAGTGGGATCCTTCAATGTGGATTTTTGCTGGAAGGATAGGCCTAGCCTCGAGTCTTTTTGCTTCTTTTAGCTCCTATTTTTGAGGTTCTTGTTTGGAACCTTAGCTTTAGAAGTGTTTTTTTCTTTTTCTCTTTACCTCTTTTGAGTTTTTTGTAATCCTTTTTTTAGGTAATGAAAGTGAGGTCACCCTCTATACTTCCCCCACCCCTCAAAAAAAAAAAAAATAATTATAAATTGATACGTAAGCTACTAATTATTTTAGTAAAATTTAATTATTATTTATACATATAATTTGCCTTTCCTCGTTGAATTTTTTTTACCTTCACCTCTTGGATAAATTATTCGGTGTGGACACTGGATGCCGTCCGGAGGCCAACCAGAACACGTTACGTCATTTTTTTGCTCGGTATCAGTGTTGGGTATCGCTGGGTACCAGGTGA